GGGCTGCATTTGCTCTTTGCGAGTGGTTTAAAGAGGTGTTGTTCGTCCTGACCCAATTTCCAGAATGCGTTTGGTTGGTCGCTATTCCGGGTTATAAAAATCAGCGCGCCCGCTTTGTGGAATGGTCCGCGACTGCTTGCCAGACCCCCCGGCAAAGTCAACCCAATTTCCAGAAGGCATTTGGTTGGCGGCTATGCCGGGTTACACAAATCAGCGCGCCCGCTTTGTGGAATGGTCCGCGACTGCTTGCCAGAGCCCTGTAAAGTCAACTCAATTTCCAGAAGGCGTTACACAAATCAGCGCGCCCGCATTCTGTGGAATGGTCCGCGACTGCTTACCAGAGCCAACCCAATTTCTAGCAGGCTTTTGGTTGGCAGCTATGCCGGGTTACACAAATCAGCGCGCCCGCTTTGTGGAATGGTCCGCGACTGCTTGCCAGAGCCCCGGTAAAGTCAACCCAATTTCCAGAAGGCATTTGGTTGGCGGCTATGCCGGGTTACACAAATCAGCGCGCCCGCTTTGTGGAATGGTCCGCGACTGCTTGCCAGAGCCCGGTAGAGTCAACCCAATTTCCAGAAGGCATTTGGTTGGCGGCTATGCCGGGTTACACAAATCAGCGCGCCCGCGTTCTGTGGAATGGTCCGCGACTGCTTACCAGAGCCAACCCAATTTCCAGCAGGCATTTGGTTGGCAGCTATGCCGGGTTACACAAATCAGCACGCCCGTATTCTGTGGAATGGTCCGCGACTGCTTACCAGGCCCTGTAAAGTCAACCCAATTTCCAGAAGGCATTTGGTTGGTCGCTATTCCGGGTTACGCAAATCAGCGCGCCCGCGTTCTGTGGAATAGTCCGCGACTGCTTACCAGAGCCAACCCAATTTCCAGAATGCATTTGGTTGGCAGCTATGCCGGGTTACGCAAATCAGCGCGCCCGCTTTGTGGAATGGTCTGCGACTGCTTGCCAGAGCCCCGGTAAAGTCAACCCAATTTCCAGAAGGCATTTGGTTGGCAGCTATGCCGGGTTACACAAATCAGCGCGCCCGCTTTGTGGAATGGTCTGCGACTGCTTGCCAGAGCCCCGGTAAAGTCAACCCAATTTCCAGAAGGCATTTGGTTGGCAGCTATGCCGGGTTACACAAATCAGCGCGCCCGCTTTGTGGAATGGTCTGCGACTGCTTGCCAGAGCCCCGGTAAAGTCAACCCAATTTCCAGAAGGCATTTGGTTGGCAGCTATGCCGGGTTACACAAATCAGCGCGCCCGCTTTGTGGAATGGTCTGCGACTGCTTGCCAGAGCCCCGGTAAAGTCAACCCAATTTCCAGAAGGCATTTGGTTGGCGGCTATGCCGGGTTACACAAATCAGCGCGCCCGCTTTGTGGAATGGTCCGCGACTGCTTGCCAGAGCCCCGCAAAGTCAACACTCAAGGACCGCCCTCCCTCCACTCCCCGCGTCAGGAACGGAGTCGTCGGCGTGGAGGGGCTGGAGCTCATACAGTTTAGTTCGACCTGGCCGATGGTCGATGCTTTGCATCAGCCCCTTGCCATGAAGCCCCATCCGGGTTTCCTCGAAGAACAGAAGCAAATACAACAAAAAACACACGGAGCCCCTGAGAAATAAGGGAGGACGGGCTGTTGAATGAGGGCTCAAGATTACTCTTCCATATCCATCAAGGAAGATGCATCGATGCAGTTTCGTTGAACATCCAGGCCTTTCTTTACTTGATACCCACAGAATTGTTTCATAAACGGCCTTTGCAAGTTTGTGCTTTCTTCGTGGCTTGCTCCTTGAACAACATCCGAAAGGTTCTTCAATTGCTTGTGCGCGCTATTTTGATCCAGTGTCCAGTCGCCAGTTTGTCAGTTGGGACTGACCTTAACGGCAACCTTGCTCAACAGCGCTTTGTTCGCTGCAAGCTGTGCATGTCTCAGCTGCGCAGGGGACAATCTCTTGACAGGAATTCCAGCGTCTCCATGAGCCCGATGTCGTTTGCTGTTGCTTTCGTGTAGAGTTTTCATACACCTAGGTCTTCGATTTGGTCGCTTGTTGGGGCTCTGGGCATTTGTTTTTGTTCGGCCAACCAGAGCTGGCTCAACCTGATTGAATCACGGGTTCCAGGTTCCATTTGGGAAACCGAAGGTCCGAGTGGCCTTCGAAATCTTTTCAGCTTTTGACAAGTCGGATGCGGAGGTTTGAAGCTGACTAGTCGGGGGTTCCATGCTGCTGAAACCAAAAAGGAGGCCATCAGTCGCAAAGGGAATCGGATCCCAGTCGAAGCCGGTCACAAGGCTGCCATGCCCTCGACTTGCCGCCCCAAAAGACGATGCGGATCCCTGCTTTACCACCTCTCTCCGGATGCCTGGTGCCTTTCGCGCATACGAGGAACGGCTTCTCCAGCTACCTGGGCTCTCTCAATTTCAAATTCACCGGGCACCGCCATGCAATAGCGCAACAGGAGGCAGGGAGAATGGGAGAGAAAGAGAGAAGGATGTCTGTGTTTGCCTTCTCAGAATGAAAGCGAGCCACTGAGCTGAACTACAGTCAAAGTCAATGATGTTCTGTAGATGTTCTTGATGTGTTTGTTGTCTTCAGAATTCAGTAGCCTGGGTTCATGTTGCCATTGCGTGGGGAAGGGGTTCTCCATTTGCTTGCCTATGTGTTCCGTCATGGTTTATCAGTACTTGCCACTGTTGTTGTCTTTTTACGTGTAAACTTCTTGCTTGCTCATCAAGGGCTGCAACCAGCTCAGCCCCGGGGATCTTGTTTGGTGCTTACATGTTAAGGCCACTAAATGGACCGGCTACCGCAAACACCATGCAAGACCCCCTCTTTTGGTGGACCATTTTGCAAGTCTTTGGCCGCATGTGACTCGAATGACTTGGTTTGCGGCTGGGTCAATGCCCTTTCGTGACTGGTGGACGTGCCCTGTACCCTTCGGAAAGGGATAAGGCGGATAAGGGAAGCCCGTTTGGGGGAGACCAAAGCTGAGTTTACATAGACCAAGCCACTGGTGATTCCCTGCATTGCAGGTCCTTGATTGAGGTGTTGGGCTGGGTGCGATACCACGAATCCCCCGAAAAGAAGCCAACCACTAAGCTCACAGCGCCAGGGTTCCTTAGCGAGTCATGGGCCCCGGGCGTTTCAGCAAAGGGTCGACATTTTGGTGAACAACATGAGGATGTTCAATCAAGGACATGTGCTGAAGGCAAACAAAACTCTAAACATTCAGAAGTCAACTGGGGCATATTTCACGTTTTAAGCTAAAAGACCAGCGTTTCGAAAAGAAACACACCCCCCCCTTAAGAAATCTGCGCTTGTCTTCAGCTTCGCCCATTTGCACGAAGCTGCAGGTGAGCACGAGGAACTTTAAGGCCCTTGTGCCGGTCTCCAGCATCACGGAACCGCTGCTGACTCGAGAATCATGGCAGTACCAGCAGGCCCGCGTCACGCTCGCGTCAGGCGTGAATGCCGAGGTTCGTGAAATGGCAAGGGTCCTGATAAATTTCCCCTGCCGCCATTTGTTGAAGCCTGCAAAAAGGCCCTCGATTTGGTGCTACTGGGCTGGACGGAATCGACGGTGCCCATCAGGCGATTGATACATGTGCTCAATGTTCCAAGTTTCCTGGGGATTGTGCTAGTACTGATCGGGGCGCGCAACTTGTAAGAACAACGTTACTTGGGAAACACCTCTAACTACTTGCATAGAGTTCTGTTCGCTGTCACAACATGACGGGTTGTTAGATTATGTGTTGTTACATCATGGAGTTGTTGGCAAAGTTGCACAACAAGGACCTGTTCGGTATCCCAAAGGAATGTTTATTTGTTGGATCCCAGAACAGGTTCCATGTTAGTGAACTCAGCCTGCTGTCATCTCGAAATGTTCAAAAAAGACAACAACCACACGCTCTCAACATAGAACCCCCAGGCCAAGCCAGGCTCATGCGCCTGTCAATCAAGCATCCGAATCATCACACAGCCCGGCCTCCCAGGTCCAGCTGTGCACAAAACCCCAAACAAGACTCCCCTACAAATTGGCCGGCAAATGACGGACGACTTGTTTGGCATGGGAGCTGTCCTGATTTTGAAGCACGAAAATGGTTGCAGCATCCCAGCGGTAGCCCATGAACGGCATGCCCTCATGGTTTGGGCTCCATGTGAGTAAAATCCTAATGTCTACATTCATGAATCACATGACAAAGGCGCACGCGGCCCGAGTAGCAAGTCCGGTGTGCTTAACATCGAACCTGGAAATACGGTGTTTTTTACCGTTAGTGTGTAGGGGAGTACATTTGTTGTTTGATTTCACAGAAAACCACAAGGGCTGGAGGCTCGGTTGCGTGTTGCTTGTCTGAAGGAACCCCACTAAAAGATGGACCTTGTTGTCCAACAGGATAGATACCACAGGGTGGATGTTGCCGGATGGGTGACGGGGTAGCTGAATGTTTTTTTTGTTTTTCCTTTTCTGATGGCACTTCATCCACTGAATCGAGACCGAGCAAGCGTAGTGGGTCTTCTTGCCCGTGATCCTTTTTGGGAATGACTCAAAGTGTGTGGCTTCTTCCGCAGCATGCTTCACAATGAGGCCAATTTGTTGGCCTTTGAGGAAAGGGGGGGGGGGGGGTAGGATGCATGCTACCATGCTTGAAGGAAGCTGACTGGTGCAAAAGTGGGGACAGCCTAGACATGGGCTCTTTTTCGGATACTCGCATAAGGGAACCCCTTTTTATTGGAACCCAGCACATCTGTAATACGACACAAAGGGCCTCCCAAGACTACCCCCCCACATAGCGGGGATTTGCTTGCATCGCAGTGGTTGAATAAACCGCGAGTGATCCCACAACCCTGTCAGAATCCGTTCGTTGGGCCCTGAAAGACTTGCTGGTGCTCGGCAGGGAATGAGAAATGGAATAACCCCTATAAACCATCCAACTGGTGGTTTCCTTTAAGGGCACCGTTCATTCCCTCATTCCCTACTGAGCACCAGCAAGAAAAATGCCAGGCGCGTTTCCAGCTCAGCAACCTGCTGCACTTCACCTCCATGACGCCAGAGGTTTTGAACTGGGAGCAGAAGCTGCTCAAGCGGCTCGTTGATTTTCTCTTTGGGCCCGCAATCCGAGTAGAGCAGTGGGCTTAAGAAGCAGAAAACACCACAAAACTCGGGGGTCCGAAATTCAGACCACTTATGTTTTCGTATTCATGGCAAAATTGGGTACCCCTTTCGTGGCATTGGGATTTGAATTCTAATTGCACAATGTGGACCCATTCCCTGACGTCCGCCACACCAAACGTCCAGTTGGGGTAACGCAGCCCATACTTTACTTGGTATTTGGAAACGAAACCGAACCTAAATGCCTTGTCGCAACAGGCGTGGCTTCTTGGACGGCACATGAGTCTCTTTTCTTTGTCGCTGTTAAATTGATTGTGCTGCGGGTGTTTTGTTTGTTTAAAGAAAGATTGGCTTTTACTGTTCCAAGCTGGTTCCCTTGCAAGGATCGGTGGAACAACTGCTCAAGACGCATGTAACAGGAGTAGATACGTGCGAGCCATGGTCCTAAAGTCTGAGTAAACGAGTTTTAAGGGGTGACTCCAGGAACTCGAAGTCGAGATCCTTTCCATCACTGCTGCCAACTTAGAATCCCTTCTTCCGACTTCTTCCTATTTATGAACAACAATTGTGGGGGGGGGGAGTGTACTATTAGGGGGAAAGGAGTTTTCAAGTTTCGACGTTGTACTGAAAAGTCGTGCTGCTTGTGTTTTCCCAAGCTGAAGCTGCCAACATGCCGTTGCGATTGTCAAGCTGGAACTGCCAAGTTCCATCTTCTGTACAACACTTGCTCTCATCAGGTTGCGATTTTCGAGTGGGAGTGGCCACCGTGCAAGCTGTGTTTTACACGTGTACTGACAACTTGCAACGTGGTTGGCATGCTACAGTTGCACTGCCAAGCTGGCACTTTTGCAACTTCAATATCAGACAGAATCAAAAAACAACGACAATAACTTCGAAACAAGATACCGAAAGCTGGCAACTACTCATAAAGAGGGTGTGTTATGCTATGAAGCCTCACATCAGCGGACAGAAACAATGGCACAACTTTCTGTTTTTGTGCACTTGCGTTCCGCATAGGCAAAGCTTCCACCTAGATGGCTCCGCAACTTTAATGTAGGCTCGGTGTGCACTCCCCAGTGCAACCTTAAGAAACGTAAACCCAGTCCCCGTTGAAAAAGTGGCTGACCCACCGAGCAGGGCGCTTGTCGCGAAACGCGATCGAGGCTATATCCATGCCCCACGGGCTGCGTGGAGCGCAGCTTCCAGTGCTTTCCGTGCCCCCCAGGGATGATGCGGCCATCCTTCACTTCCCAGTGCGTGCCTTGCGACGCGTATGGCAAGGACGGGGCGAAGATCATTTTTGCTCTCGGGTGTTGTTCTTTGTCCTCCGTGTGTTTTGTTCTGCCGTGGCCACTGTGTTCGTCCCTCGCATTTGTATTTGGGCCTGCGTTTCTTCTTGTTGACCCTGCTGCAGTTGCAACTGCTGTGATTGTCGTTGCGGTTCCTGTTGGTCTTGCAATGGTGGTTCTCGTTGTGGCACGGAACTTTATTCGAGATTCCCCCCAAAAGTGGTTGGACATGAAATCCCACCTAAGTTATGTTCACCAAAAACATCCCAAATTCAAATTGGTACCCTTGAGTCAATGAAGGAGGCTCGCATTTCTCTGAGTTGTCATGGGGGGTTGCGGGATCCGGCGCAAGGATCGCTATCAGGATGCCTACGCCGGGGCAGTCTGCCCCTCCGATGCAACGGGCTTGAGGGAATTTGGGGATACCTCTGTGTGGGTGTGAGATTTTGTGTTGAGGGTACTAAAGGGATTCAAAGGAACGAACAACTGCCATTTGTTGGGTTCCCCTATTGTGACACGCACACACACACACACCCATGCCAGAGTGCGACGACTTCATTAGAGTTGGGGCCCGGTCAAGTGAGAGCGTGACCAGCACAAGGAGAAACTTGAGATCATTCTGCTGGGCGTCCGAAACCCTTTATGTTTATTCATTCCCAATGGATGCAGAGGTGCTCAATGCGTTCATTTATCACTCCCTTGAGCCCACGGCCAGCCCACTGCGCAGGGTGACAGCTGGCGGCGCGGATCGGTTTTCCAGCGCGTCGTTTGCAGCATTTTTGTTTCAGATGCATTCGCTGCCCACGGGATGCGCAAGGGAAGTATCACCCAGAGACCGTTTCAAGCAAGCGCAGGCCTGGTATTGTCATGAAGGTGATTTCCAAAACAGGGGGTGCAGAGAAACTGGGCACTTTCTCTATGCTTCCTTCAAACCAACGTTGGTCGTCCAAGTATGGACGATTATCAAGTTTGGCGTTTTGAGGAGGGTGCAACAACTGAAGTCCTTGTTGGTTGTGCTGAGGGCATCAGATGCCAAGGTTCTGGCACATGGGGTTCCCTTGAAGCAAACCCTGACTGGTGCAGTTCGGGGCCGTTCGACTCACCAGG